GAGAAATTCCTTTTCTATTATAAAGTTTGGCATTAAATGTGGCATTAAATGTGAAACACTACATCAATCAAATGACCTCCTCGCGAACTTTTACCAACTTCAATCCGTTTGAGAAAATTTTCAAGCAATTTTTGGCACGTTTCGGTAATGTTGGTTGGTAAATACTCAACCAAAATTAGGCTCAAAAAATCAGATTCTCATACAATCATTACGCTCCGAATTGATTATGACTAGGGATCCATTTTCATTAATGCCTGACTTTCAATAAACTTCTGGCATGAAATAAAAGAGCTTCTCATAAAAGTCCATCGGCCGTTAGGAGGCCATTTGTTGGAAAACATTAAGTCGCCTACCACAAAATGTAGGATTAGCTCGCTCGAAAACACTTTAACGGTTAAAAAGAGTCAATTATACGAGGAGATTAACAAATTTTTGGTAAGTTAAACAAAAAAAAATTTTTTTTTGTAAATACAAATTTGTAATCTTTGTCCTTTTTCATCTTCTCTACACAACCGCCATTGATTTCAATAAACTTCTTAAGCCTACAGATTCACTTCTGAAAACAGCTTTTTAACCTGATAGCATTAACCGCATTAATTATCTGCTCCTTGCTATTAAAGACCTTTTCTTTAAAATATTATTTTTTAATTTTTGGAAATAACCAGAGGCCGTCAAGGTTCGGGGAATATGGAGGGAAGCATAAAATTGCTCGTTATTTCAGCAGGGTGAGATGGCGCATTATCATGATGTAAAAAGTAGCGCCGAAAATCTTCTTTCTTCCTTTTTTCCAACAAATTTTTGAAATATTTTGGTTAGCTCTCTTCGGTGTACCATTCTGCAAATACCCAGATATCGTCTGACCCCTTCCCAGTGGAGTGGCAGCTACGATTTCAGATCGGGTGAAGTACACTTAAATCACTACTTTTCAAGCTGATTTTTTTTGTTTAGATTTTACGGTTGGGTTTGCTGCTGTCGGGCTCCATACCATGGACTGCTATTTGGTTTCAGGGTCGTACTTATATAACCAATATTCGTCACTAGTAACGACTTAACTAAAGTTGCTAGACTGACGATTTTCCAAATTGTTTAAGAAAACTTTGGCAAAATGCACTCGAACCTCTTTTTGGGCCTCATTTAAAATTCGTTGTACCTACCAGCAGATTTCTTCAAGCATCCCAGGTGATTACTTAATATATGCGATGCTGCCATGGCATTTAAGCCCAATTCAATAGTAATCATTTCTTGTGTCAATCGTGGTTATTCGTCAATTTTAGACTCCATTAGAGCTACAGTGACGTCATCAGTGGAAGATTTTGGTCGATGTTCTCGCAGCTCGCGCTCTATCGAAAAATGTCTGATCTTTAATCTTCGGAACAACTTAAAAATAGTGTTTAAAGGTGGTGCAAAAGTTCTTTAAGCCTTTTGGCATTCACTGATTATCTTTAATGGCTGTAAGTTACGCCGAAACCCGAAGAGCAACACAAGGTGAATTTCTGTTTGTGTTGATGGGGGATGATGACTATGACTTATCCTCAGCTATTTCGCGTTTTCTCATCTTAATTTTAGTCGATCGTTCTAAAATTTGAAATGAAGACTAATAAAGTATTTGCAAAGGATTTGGTATTTTTAGATTTAACAAAAACAAATTGAAAGCCACCAATTGACGAACTTTTGTTAATCCCTTCAAATGTATGTACTACAGCTCTAGATACCCGGGTATCGAGCAGCTCGATACTCGCTCGGTACTCCTTCGTTGCTGAACTGCTCAAATGATAGTTTGAAATTTTTCAAATTTCGATTTTGTTTGTCAAAATTTCTATAGTATTTCAATGAGTTTTACACTTGGGCGGCCGCGGTAGCCGAGTTGTACTGACATACGGAAAGCTCTGGTTCATATCCCGTTGCCACCAGCATCCGAAAGTTTTGGAAAACTAATTTAAATACAAAATTAGGTATAATTCTCAAATTGCGGCCGCTCCACAACAGGGCATGTCAACCCCTCCGAATTTATTTCTGACATCAAATAAAAGCTCCTTATAAAAATCCATCATCCATTCCGCGGCGGCTTAGTAAAAGTAACATAATTTTAGAAACACTTTCACACAGGTATGACAACCGATCTGCATCTGATTTGTGGTGAATATTGAAACAACCGGTCACTGATTCTGAACTTTTTGTTAGTGCGCCACGTAGCCAATCTGCAGCATTCGAAATTAGGTGACAGCATCACTTTAAGGATTTTTGTAAAAATACCACAGTTCATATTCAAAGAAAGGTGCAAATGAATACAAATGTATTTATGCTCATTTATACATACCTATGTACGTATGTGTGTACACACACTTGCATCTTCAGTTTTTAGTTACAAGGCTTTCTTTCTTTGCTTATAACCTGAATTGCTATTGCACTTGCACTCAATGTGGGTTTTTATTTTAAACTTCTGCGGAAGTTGACACTGTTGTTGTGGTAAAAGTACAAGTAAAAGTAAAAAAGTAGAAAGAAAAGCAAAAATAAACAAATACATGAAAAGCAGAGGAAGCACATATATTGTGGCGGTTGATGCATGAAATTTAGTGACACGAACTGAAATGTTGCAGTTGGCCTTTATTCGATGATGAGCGGGGGGGAAACAGTTGTAAATTTTTCGTTGTTGCAACTTCTACTGAAGCAAAAGTAGAGAGTGGAAAGGTGGCAAAACACTATCAAAGTGGGAGTAATAAAATAATAACTATACAACAACAGAAAGGGTGTTTGTGGTGTAGAGCCTAGTGGCGCGGCGACAGGCCGGGCTGGGCCACCTTTTCTGCCGTCGGCAATGAACGATATGATGGCTTTCGAATGTTGCTTTTAGTTTGTTTTATTTTTCCTCTTTTTTTCCTTGGTTCAAGCAACGTTGGGATAAAGTTCAGACAACTTAGTAATGGCCATTTTCCTGTGTTCATTAAAAAGGCCAATTTTTTGTTATGCATTAAGCACCTAAATTTTTTAATTACGGCTTTATGATTAGCTACGTATATATGTGAGCCAAATAAAATCAACACGAATTATGTTCCGTTACCAGAAGGAAATGGAGTTCTCCTTGCAGTTGTTGTTATTGTAATAATGGCAAAAAAAAATTGAGCAGTTGGTTTTCGGCGAGTATTGCAGGAGTGACAGTACTTGGCCGGACAAGAAACCGAGTCGTTCCGCTCTGAAGACCCAATTTTCACGGGAACTATTGGATTTTAGTGTACTTCTTTCGACAGACATGCTTTATGTATATATGCAGCTTCTCCCCCAATTTGTGGTTTTGTGTCTTGATGATTTTCCAAGAAATGGACGAATCTAAAGTTTATATTAAGCCGCCTTCGAAAGGGTGATGGTTTTTTTTATGAGAAGCTTTATTTCATGTCAGAAATACACTCGGTAGGGTTGACCTTTCCTACCGAGGGGCGACCGCAAATAGAAAATTTAGCTTAATTTTTTATTTAAATTTGTTTTCCATACCTTTTTGGTGGTTTGGTACGATACCAGAATATGAGCCCGAGCTTTCCGAATGGCAGTACGCAATGCTAACTACTCGGCTACTGCGGCCGCTATGACTCAACATGGTTAAATTCTTGAACCCCTAACCGGCAGGGGTCAGAATTCTTTTTACTCTTTCACACTTTGACATACACATCTTTCGAGAGGTGGACCTGCGACCGAAAATTAAATTTATTTTTAAATCGCTCGATTTATATGAAATTCGGCTCTGGGGTAGCTCTTTGCCCCGATTCACATGGGGAGCGCTTTTCCCTCCGGAAAGTGGTTCCTTATTATTTTGCGCATAGACGGCTCTTTTTCCTAGGGCAATAAGTGCTAGTTTTTCTTTCGTAGAAGTTGTTGATTGAGAAAATCAGAGTTTCGGTTCGAATAAACCCAACAAAAAATCTTTGAATTCCATGCTCACGAAGTCTCTGGCAAACTCAAGTAGTAAATAATACGCAAGAAATACCTTTTTTTATTTTTCAATGCAAAGAAAATGGATTCTATCTGGTAACATGAAAAAGACGAGACACGTTTAATTTCAGATGCTATGTAGCCGATCATTTTGCTCTTTTCTTCATTTGCCTCCTTCACTTTTTCCAAATAATCAGCATTTACTTTTGACTATAATTTGTGCCTTCTATGTATCTTGATGAAATAATAAGTGATCCATTTCGAGATACCCTTCTTTTTTAAAGAAAATTCACATAAAATTCCTTTAAGTTTTGACCGCGGCTATGTCTCGTTGCTTCATTCGTTGACTTCAATTTTCGATGACTCGTTCTAGCATTTCGACTGGTGACTGGCGAATGAAACGCCTGGATTGTCCGCATAGACTTTATGTTTTACATATCCCCACCGAAAAATGTCCAACTGTGTGATATCAGACGATCTTGAGGGCCTATCGAACCTTCCTAACGTGATATTATCTACTCACCGAAGTATACTTTCAATAAATCCATTGGTTGATGCGATATGTGGGAAGTGGCGTTGTTGAAACCAAATGTAGCCGAGATCACGAGCTTCAAATTCAGGAATCAAAAAGTCGGTTATAATGGCGCGATAACGGTTGGCATTGATGGTTACGTTCACACCGTCATCATTTTTGAAAAAATATGGACCAATTATTCTAACAGCCCACAAACCACATCAAACCATTGTTTTTTCCTGGATGACATGACACATCTTGAATATCTTCAGGTTCCTCTTTGATTTTTGAATATTATAAGAATATACGTGTACGCTTACTCTCCTTTTAAAGCCGCTGAAGCGATGTTCGATCCAACTATTCCGTAAATTACTTTTTGCTTATCTTGGGGCTTTCCCAACAAAAGAAATGGATCTGACTGTGGAATTACGATCAGCTATTCAAAAACAACTTTTTCTATGATATTTTCTTATGATATTTTACATACATACTCGCATAATAATAAACGTTGAAAATTTTAAATATCTCGTTCTAATCATAATCATTCTACTTACTCTACTTGCAGGAAAATGGAAGATCCGTTCCTGATGTTACCGCCAGCCCTGGCCGTGCGCCTCCTGGTCCCTTGCCGGCGAATCAGTTGCAATCGTTGGCCAATCAACAGCAGCAGCAACCACAACAGTCGCAACATCATCAACAACAACAGCAGCAGCAGCAACAACAACAGCAACGGCCAGGAGGGAAAGAGCCAGTGTTGCTGCAAGGAGATTTTCGCAAGGTGTCGGGTATCAGTTCGGAGATCTTTCGGCAGATAGAAGCAGTTGAAAATGATCATGACCCGAACACAGCTGCGGCTTTGGAGGTGAGTATTGATATTTAAGCATTCTCTTTTTTCTAAATAGTTGGGCAATGTTAATGAGGTTAGAGAGATTCAGTTCTAACATTTTCGGCACATTAACCACAACCATTAGCAGATGGCAGTGTCGGACCAAAATTAATAAACTATTTTATGTTCATGAAGGGCATTCAAATTTTAATCGAGGTTGCCAAATATTTCAAGGAGATGTAAATGAGACCCAAAAGAGGTCTCACTCAATACGTTGACAATTTAGGAGGAAATTTTGAATTATAAAATCCCTTTATGACACCAAATGCAGTCAAAAAGAGCTATATTGGCCTTACATTTTCGAGTAAGACTTTATCTTCGAATCAAGTGGTACTAATGAGTTTGAAGAAAATTCAATAATCAAATTTCCAAATGTCTAGAGCGCAAAGTTCATGTGCGACAACCTTCAATGCTCACTTAGTCTAGGGTCTTTTTAAGTTCTTGTATTATGGATTTATGGTTATCTGCTGCATTTCCAGTTAACCTTATAATCCTAAGGGTCTGAGATTTAAATGTTTTTTTTTTTTTTTTTCAAACCGAATGACTCAGAATTACCTACAGTTGAAAATTTCTCGATGAGTTACGCAAAGCGTTAGCTAATGGTTTGCGATGACTTTTTAGTTTGTAGGACACGTTGTTCTGCTCGTTTCACACTCCGGCTTAACTAGTAGGATACCAAGGCCTCTGCGTAAGTTATGTAATGTACCACGGTTCGCTCGTTATTATCCTTAGAGTTTTGGACTGCAACTTCCTGTATATCCTTATATTCTCAATATTAGTTGCTTTAGGTATGTCCCCACCACATGAAATCACTTTCGAAATCGGCTTAATAAATGAATTCTGGAGGGAAAACTAAATGGCAGTGAAAAAGCAACACTATGAGATAGCGAACCCGAACGTATTGTGTCAAAGAACGTGGGAAAAACATATCAACGCCCACGAAACTAAATGCCCATGACTTGGGTTGGTAGTGAACGAGGGCAATACGAAGTATCTTCTGTCATCAAATAAACACTTATATGGAAATCAGCATTAATACCGCGGCAGTGTACTGCCTTTCGGAAGGCTAGGGTTCACATCCTTGTATCGTACAAACATCGTGCCCCTATACAGGGGGTGTTAACCCTTCCGAGTGTACATATTTTTTAAATAAAAATCAAAACTCAACATAAAGCACCGTCAGACGTTCGGAGGCGGCTTAGTAAAAACTGTAGGTCCCTCCATTTGTTGGAAAAACATCAAGACCCAAAATCAAAAATTGTAGGAGGAGCTCGGCTGAAAATCGCTTTAGCGATTACAAAGTGCCAAATACATATATATATATATAAATAAATATGTACACTAACACCATTGTCAGTTTTGAAATAAAATTCAGAATCAATCGTTTCCCCCGCTGCTACTTTAGACTGAGTAAGCAATTAAAAAGTGAAGTTCTCTTACTACAATCACAGACCAAACTCTACATGTCGCTTATCGTTCTCATTCCACTATATGACGCCGAGACATGGAAGATGGCAATACCTAATAAGTCCGCATTAGGAGTTCTCGAGAGAAAGGTTTTGCGTAAGAGTTATGGTCGTCATCCATGAGTTGGTATAGACGAATGCCGACGGAACAATGAGCTCAGCAAATTTAGAGACAGCGGCTACGCTGGCTAGGTTATATGGTCCGGATGGACAAGAACACGACAGTTTTGAAAGTTTTTGTACCTACCGGTGGAAGAAGAGGAAAAGGATGACCTATGCGCTGATGAAAATATTAGGTAGAAAAAAGGTGAATGGCGCGCTGTTGTTGGCTTGGCTTTAATCGCGGTATCTACACCAGTAAGGAAGTAGAAAGGAATTGCAAGCGATAACTTTGTATTGGGGAATATTTTTTGGCATTACACCTAATATAACGTGTTTACTCTTTTGCCATTGTCTTTAATTCTTTGCTAACCGATATTATTCTCTAGGACATTTATCACGGCATAATATGGCCTTATCCGATTAAGTGAGGTCTTGTACTTTCTGATTTACTGGGATACCTATTTATATAAGATTTAGGTCCAAGAACGCTACTTTGGGGAACACCAACTTTAACTGGAAACTTCTTAGCGATATATTTCGATTATTTTACGGTAAACTGCCTGTTAGACAGCTATGACTAAAATATATTTTAGAGCTGGATAGGCGGGACTCTTTATAAATTTTGTGTAATAGAACTGTATGTCAAACCTTGCGGAAGACTTATGCAGTATCAAGAGATATTTTTTCAAATCTATATCCCTTGATATAGAATGCCTTCTTAATTTCCAATTTCGTGGTTCTGGTATAACTTTATTCCGATGGGTAGTTATCCTAGTTATCAGAATTCTTTCGAATAATTTGGAAAGATAGGCAATTAGGGTTATTAATCTGTAAGCAGACGTCTATGGGTGGTATTTACCTCTACAAACTGCAGAGTATATAATGAGGGTACTCACACCAGATTTGTTAATTCTAAATTGCTATTCGGTAGTTTGTAACTTCGTTTTGGGTTTTTGTAAGTGTTAACCGAGTATCGTTTTATCGAGTAAAAAAAAATTGGAGTCATGTAAGCTTCATAGTTTTCCGAAATATTTTTCTGTGTTTTATGCAATCGCAATGCGTAAGCGTGAGGGAGAGAAGGTGTACATACATATACATATATGTACCATACAAAAAATGCTTATTGAATATCCATATGTTCTCTTTACAACAGGCGGTGGAGAGAAGGGGTGAAATGATAGTACGAATTCTGGAACCGCGATGTATTGGAGGTAAGCACGCCGTGGAAGCAGCGCACAAATTGATGTCTAAAGGGGATGCGCGACATACTGTGCAGGTAAATATGTTAGACAAATATTTTGAAAAAACCCAGCTGACAATCCAAGGAAATCTCTACTTTTTAGCTTGTTGAGATAGTTAAGCGTCCAGGTCAAACATTGGGCTTATACATACGTGAGGGAAATGGCGCCGACCGTACCGATGGAGTTTTCATATCTAGAATAGCCTTAGAATCTGCAGTTTACAATAGCGGTTGCCTGAGGGTTCGTTAATATCAGTTTGAAAACAAATTTTATGCTTTGATAATTTCTTTCTAAGGTGGGCGATGAAATCCTGGCCGTTAATTTGGTCGATGTTACACACATGTCCTTGGATGATGTCGTCATTATTATGTCAATTCCCCGGCGACTAGTTTTGGCAATACGTCAAAGACGAGATAGTCGCACTACCGGTTCACCGGGACCACCAACTCTGTCCCGGCCCGAGCAAAAGCCACCGCCAGTTGTCGTTATCAAACGTGATCTCAGAGATGAAGACTTAGATGAGACCGATCGCATGCCAAGATCCCGTTCATCACGCGAAAGACGTACAGGTATTTCGATATCATCGCCAGTAATATTTTACTGACATGGCTTTTTCTGTTTTCTTGTGTTCCAGGAGATGGACGAGAGATGACCGAATCGCGCTCCCGCCTCGGTTTGGGTCTCAACAATTATAGCCCGCAATCCGAGCAGCTGGACATGTATTATAATACACGCGCTGGCGTGAGCGCTATGAACGAGCCACCCAGTTGGGGCTATAAACCACCACCGCCACCGTCGGTCATCACCGAACAGCCCAAGGGTCATGCTTTTGCTCCTTCGCATGCGTACTATCAGAATGCTGGTACGTTGGAGAGCTTAGCTGAGAAGGTACACGCATTCTATCCTAGTGGACCATCGCGGCGAATGTCCACCGGTACCGGTGTTGGCTTAGCGCAACAACATGCGCGCTTCCCGCGCTCTGGCTCAGATCAACACTTACCACGCGTAGAATATGCGGATTATTCAAACTCCTTGGGACGACACTCATTATTGCGTTCCAGTTTGAAGCCGGGTACTGGCGCAGCACCAATAGCTGTAGGCGGCACCTTAGGACGTTATGGCCGTTATGAACCACCGCGTCAATCTTCGAAATATGCACCGCCTAATATTGGCGCACAGTCGCTTAGCCGTCGTTCGCGACCAAATCTTGATTATTCGAGCGATACTGAAGCCACAATAGGCCCACGACCAAGCTACTATTACTACAATCGGCCCGCTGTAGGCAGCATGCCACGCGGTGCCACTGCAGCAGGTATGGGTACAGCTGGTATATTAGGAGGTGGGCCAGATATGGCAAAGTTTAATTCACTGCCACGCGAACGACCGGGCGTGCGTCTACAAGGTATACGCTCACGTATCGGTGATCGCATTATGGATGAAAGTGACGGTAACATATCGGCACCGGAATTCAACGCTCGTCGTGATCGCGATCTAAGATCGCGAATAACAGCGAGCCCTTCTATTTTTACATCAGATGAATATCGAGCATGGTTGAGGCGTGCACCAAGTAGTTCGGCTATTGCGGAGCAAATGCGTATGACAAGAGATTTGCTTAGCCAGCCTCGATCGCATCGATTTTCGTGCAGCGCAGAAAATATACACGACGCACTGAAGAACGTGAGTAATTAGTTTGCAAAGGCTTGCTTTGTACTCATTTTTAAAACTCTTTTTTGCCACAGACCGAAAGCATTTACTCCAGTCGGACGGGTATACTGGGAACTGGTACATTGGATCGTCATCTCGGAATGCCACGTCCCATTTCAGCCCTACCAGTTCGTTCAATGTCATCACAACATATTGGTGGTCCATCGTCGATACGCTCGCCAAGCATACGTCGCATGCGACAACTCCTCGAGCTGTCTGCCGGTCCAGCTAGTCCAAGCGGTAGTATTATGAGCACTGGCGGTCATCAAAGTCCCGCGCCGACGCCTAGCGCTACATTACCCAGAACGCACAGACAAATTGATATTAATCCAGCGGAGTTCGCCAAGTACAAACTCGACAAACCGATAGTCGATATTGGCGGTATATCGGGTATGTTGTGGATCCATTTGCTTGCGGGCCGTGGCTTACGTTCGGCACCAGAACTAGGCGCACAGCACGTGGGCGGCCCACATCATGCAGCTCAATCACAAACACGTGATCTCTATTGTGTGATTGAATGTGATCGTGTGCATAAAGCGCGCACTGTTGTGCGATCCGGTGATCTCCAATTCGACTGGGACGAGTCTTTCGAGTTGGACTTGGTTGGCAACAAGCAGCTGGATGTATTGGTTTACTCATGGGATCCGCAACATCGGCACAAATTATGCTATCGCGGTGCCATATCGTTATCTATACTGCGACAATCGCCGCTACATCAGTTGGCTCTAAAGGTGGAACCACGTGGCACTATTTACATACGAATGAGGCATACAGATCCCATAACATTGTATCGGCGACGTGGCCTGCCCAGCTTAAGGGCCGGTTATCCCATACTGTTCGGCGCTGATTTGGAAACGGTGGTGAATCGTGAGTCTAAAGGCGCGCCTGGTAGTGCTCCTGTGCCAATTGTGTTGCGACGTTGTGTGGAGGAAGTGGAGCGACGAGGACTAGATATCATTGGTCTATACCGTTTATGTGGTTCAGCAACGAAAAAACGCCTGCTCCGCGAAGCTTTTGAGCGCAACAGTCGGGCTGTGGAATTGACTCCAGAACATGTTCCTGATATAAATGTTATAACCGGTGTGCTAAAGGACTATCTAAGAGAGTTACCGGAACCGCTGTTTACGCGGTGTCTCTTCCAGATGACCGTCGACGCTTTAGGTTAGTTTCGAGTCAGTTATCTCTATTGGATTCTGAACTAAATGTGTGTGTGTGTTTAATACTTTCAGCTGTCTGCCTGCCCGATGACCCTGAGGGTAATGCAAAACTAATGCTTAGCATACTTGATTGCTTGCCCAGGGCAAATAGGGTAAACTAAATATACATAACTGTACACACTTGCGTAACTAATTAATCTAAAACATTTCCAGGCGACTTTAGTATTCCTGCTGGATCACTTGTCCCTTGTCGTCTCCAACTCGGAGCGCAATAAAATGTCAGCTCAAGCATTGGCTACCGTCATGGGTCCTCCTTTGATGCTACACGCCGCTAACGCTCAACCCGGTTCGGACATCGACCACGCCCAACCAATTGCCGTGCTGAAATATCTACTACAGATTTGGCCGCAGCCGCAAGCACAGCACCATCAAGTGCCCACTGGCGGTCTCGTAAGCGCCACCGGTATGATGGGCAGCATGGTCGGTGCAGGAGGTGCTCTGGCGGGCGCGGGCAGCATGAGCAACATGGCGGGTGGCGGTGTTTCAGGTAACGTAATTACATTATCTCATTATTAATGTTAAAACTCCCATCATGCTGTTTAGTTTCGACTCATCAGCGCTTTACTCTGATAGCAAAGTAAATAGAGGCACTTTTTTAATTTAATTTAATAAAAAAAACTCTCACTTTCGTAAATGTATTTATTACAAATGAGGCATCCCTGCCGATAAAACTTTGTCTTACAACAAAAAAAAAAAAAAAAAAAAAAAGAGTCAGCAAAAGTTAATCACTTCATTGCGCAAGCAAGCGAATTCCATTTCATCTGTATTTCCTATTTTTTTGTTGGAAATTTTCAATATGTTCGAAAGCTTAAATTAATTAATTTATTGACATATTTACATACATATCATTTTTCGGGCTTTTCCATTATTAATATTCTAGTATTTATGTATGTAGTTCACTTGCTGATTAACACTCATTAATAATTAATAACTTTCTTCATACCGAAATCTCAAAAGCTGTGAGTAATAATGAAAGCGTTTTCTCAAAAAAAAAAAAAAAAAAAAAAAAAAAAAAAAAAAAAAAAATACATATCTACATTGTATTTATAAATAGCCAAATATGGGGGAAAGAACCAAAATTTGGAGGATTAGAGAATCCCATATTTAATCTTTAAAGTTACGTTCAAATTAATATTGATTAATACAGAGTCCTATGTAGACAGGTCGGCGCGGCGAGTCAACAGGGCAGCGTGGAAGCAAAGTCAGTGCGTTGCAAGCGGACAGACAACTTCTACTGCAGCAGCAGCAGCAGCTCATGGCGGCGGGCAATCTTCTACGCTCGTCCACTTCGGTAACCAACATACTCTCACAAGGCCATCATCCGCTCTCAGCCACAGCCAACAATCATCTGTATCAATCAGTAGTGGGTCAGTTAGCTCAATCGCCTCGAGCCTTGCAACAAGCGGTGCAACAGGTACGCATATGCCACAACGACGACAATAACAAACAAACAAAAAAAAAAAAAAACGAACAACAACAAAACAATCACAACAATAATTACAAAAAACCAAAAAACAACAAACAAATAGACAATTAGGAAGAAATAAATAATAGTATGTTGACAAACGTTACAACAATAGCAACGATTACGATCAACGAACAAGCAGTAAGAAAACAAAAACAACCAGCGTATAGTTAAAAGTGAATGTCACTACTGTCGTTTGGCATGGTTAAGAACCTTGCTCAAGCCAATGCCACAAAATTATAGTGAAAGCCTTTCTTCTCTCCTCGCGTTTTTCAGTTATATGGCCAAAAGCTCCACATACAGCTCCATCATCTGTTAGGAATATCATTACAAAATTAAAATTAACCGAGTTGTAAATTTGTATCACATACAGTACTCATTGGATTTAAGGAAATTAGAAAATGAGCAGATTTTTTTAAACTGTAATCTAGATTGTTTCATATGTAGCTACTATTTGTGGCTATAGCGCTATTCGGTTCTCCTCTTCACTGTTTGGCGTGAGATGTAAATACCAAGTAATACCAGGTCCCTTTGCTCCTGGTACTTCTTCTTCTGTTTAAACCAGCGGGTACTTCATCCAATACTTTCAAAGCTTTAGTACTTTCATTCATTCAGACGAACTATATCAATATCACCATATACTCGTCCAGCTCATCGTTCCATACTCTGCGGTATTCAGCGTAGCACCAAAAATCGTTCGTTATATCTTTTTCGAGAAGTCTTCCAAGACCGACTCTTCAGATGTTTACATCGTCTACGCACCGTCACCGTATAATAGCACGGGAATGATGAATGACTTAGAAAGTTTAACTGTAGTTCGTCGAGAGTGGACTTTATTTTTCTAATGCCTGCTCAGCCCAAAGTACCTGTTGGCAAGAGTGATTTTGCAAGAGCGATTGAAAGCTGACCGTCGGATCTCCTTTTTTATGGACTGGGCAGAAGACGCTTAAGTTGCAATCATCGGGCACGCATTCATCCGACTATATTCTACAAGGAATCTGATGCATGCACTTTGTCGGCTTTTTACTGGTTCCAGCCGCTTTTTTGTTCTTTAAGTTGGTTATCGGTATTCGGATCTCGAAGTTGGGCAATGGAACGTCTTGTTCATCATCCTAGAGTGGGATTTCGGGTTCGCCAACTGCGGGATTTTCATTGCCACAAAATTTTCAAAATCAGCCTTGTCGGAAAGTTTCTCAACCGCTACATACTCACCCTTTTTGGCTTCTTTTTTTGTTGTTGGTAAATGCGTCTTGCTTCCCTCTTCAGCTATTGGTATTCATACCACTCCGCACATGTTGTGGTGCGCCCAGTACCAACTCTTTATTATATGGCACTGCCGAAAACCAGTTGTTTCCGTAGCGGTGGTACGGAGTGAGTTTAAAATGTTGATGTCGACAGTTCCCTTGTAACGAGGTGCTTAATGGTGCCCTCAGAAATCAGGTGTGTAGTTCGAATAATAAACTATTCGGCTATTTTTATTGACGGGCGTTCTGTGATACACAGAAGCGGGGTATACAGTCGAACAGTTTTTTTACTCAAATTGCGTATCTTCGCTGCGACAAGAGAGTGATCCAAGTCAATGTTAGGGTCTCAATATGTACGCACATCTATAATACTGGTCACATGTCGAGTACTACAGGCAAACATACTGCGGATCCTGGCGAGCACGATCAGTCCAAAGCTGTTTGGCGTTGATTCCCGTTGGCGACTGAACTTCCGAAGAAATAAGCGCGGGAATGCGTTAATAGAAACCGACTGTGACAGGTGGCTGTCAATCAGCGACATATTAAGCATTTTGCTTTGATGCAGATTGTGGCGAGGCGTTCATTCACCGGATTGAATGCCAGTACTCGGCTACGGAGTCTCTCTCCCAGCACAAATCCAACACGAAATTTGCACCTCCTCCTTCACAAGAATCCACTCATTTCCGCCCTTATGCCGTCCACCGCACATTTTACACGGCTGTGATGTCAGTCTTTAATCCTACGATTACGTCAAGCTGTTCGGCAGCGGCTCCTTTTCCATTAAGCTACCGAACTTTCCAAGTGCATTCACTCAAATCGTAAGCCTTGAAACATTTGCGAGGGTCGTCATCGAAAGGGGGTCTCTCATCCGAATCCGCATTTTATTATTGTTCATTGCAATAATAAATTCCGAAAGAACTGGTGCTTTCTTGTAGAAATAGTTAGTAAAATTGTCGTAAAATATAAAATGTTAAGTTCCATAGATAACCTGACAACATACGTACATACATACATAGGGAAGGTGCGAATTTTGATGTTGATATTTTATATTCTATTTTCTCTCTTCTGCGATACATATGTATGTATGTATGAAGGCGAAAAAATTACCAGAATCTTACGGACAAATTATTTGACGACTGAACTTCACTACATACATAATACACACTTTACTTTAAAATACTATATACAGATTTACATACGGATACACTATACTCTCCACTTATTTATCCTGTTGACCGTTTGTGAAGTTGTTTATATCGTTCTCTTCGATATGTTTCTCTTTCAACACTAATTTTCATTGAATTCAGAAGGATTTAGTTAATTTTAAAATGAAAATATATTTGCTTAGAATTTATTGTATTTATTTAAGTTTTTCTACCAATTGCTTTCGAAAACAAATTAATAATAATAATAATAATAACTAATTAATTAATTAATTGTTGTTGTAATAATTGTATTATTAATGCAACTATTTACTTACAATCTACAAATATTTACTTATCCAAACAGCATAATTACAGTATTTGCGATTTGAGTAGAGTAATTTAGAAATTGATGTGAATATAAAGCAATCGATGTATGTAATAAATGTATGTGTAATTTGTACTAACTGGCTAAATATATAATATAATACCAAATACATAACAAAAAACAAAAAAAAAAAATAAAATTAAAATCAAAATAAATAAACAGATGTATGTACTAACTTGCGTACATAGTTAAGTACATTAACATCTACAAATATATACGATTAATACCTATGAGGCTGATGTGATAAAAATGTAAAAATGTGCATTCGAAGTCGGATATTAGCATGATTGGCCCACTACTGGTAATATGTATACATACATATATACATATATACATACATACATACATACATACAAGCATAAAACGTATAAAACTTCTAATGTATCTATTCATATAATTCTTTTGTGTTTTTCTCGCTCATACACATATTCATAACAATAACAATAATATAAACCATAGAATGCAAAAGTCACTGATCATGAATTCGTATATGTATTGTATATAATATAATACACATATACCTGTCTGTTCACTTAAACATATCATACATATACTGTGTCCCTTGTAATTATCTCATCAAGCAAATCGACATCAATTCAAATATAAATTAATACACACATAAATAAAAAGTATGTACGCGTATGTGCTTTCGTATGTACATACATATGTATATAATATGTAGCTCCCCTCTCTAACACATGCATCATATACTATGTACCCGTTTACATGCCTACAATACATAAACTTCGAAATGAGCTTTTATAGCATTAGATTTAGGCATTCATTCATATACACGGTGTGTCCCAAAAATAACCGAACTTTTTGCATATAAAATAAAATATCACATTATATTATCTTTGACAGTTATTATTGATTCAAAATAGGTTCCATTTGACTCAACACAACGTTTGGAACGATCAACCAGCGCATGCATAGATTTTTTTATGTCTTTTATAGAAATGTTCTTCAGTACCTCGGTTGCGGCTGCTTGAATGGCTGGTATATCATCATAAAATGCTCCCTTCATCTTGGTTTTTAGTTTTGGATATAAAAAATTGTCACATGGTGATAGATCAGGCGAATACGGAGTATGCTCGATGAGAGAAATCCCTTTTTCCATTAAAAATTCGAGCGATGTTTTGGTCGTCATTTAATTCATGTGGAACAAATCGCGCACAGACCTTTATTTTCCCCAAATCTTCAGTTAAAATTCTCCAAATAGTGTTTTTACTCGTATTCAATTCCTCAGCCAACATTCTCGTAGTAAAATTTGCATCGATACCAATGATTTCACGGACTTTTTCTACCAGTTCAGCACGATTACTAGTTTCTGGACGTCCTGCTCTAGGGTCATCATTTGAATCTTCACGACCATTTTTAAATCGTGTTAACCACGTATAAACTTGCGTACGACTCATACAAGCATCACAATAAACTTTTTCCATTAATTTTTTTTTCAAGATTGACAGAAAATTTTATATTTGCGCTTTGTTCCATTTTATTTTTGAACCATTAGCACACTTTTGGTTTTATTGAAATGGCTGTCACTTTTACATCTGTCATCCGACTTACATGATGTTAGGTGCATTTGAAAGAGGATGAATGTATCTTTTTAATATTGAAAATTTTCAAATAGATGGCGCTCTATGTTGTATGATTTAAATACAAGATAAAGTGCGGTTATTTTTAGGACACACCGTGTATACACAGAAATATTTCATCGAAGAAAGCATGTCTCTTCTGTAAATATGCAATGCGACCACAATAATCTAATTATCTATATACTCGTACATATATAAATAAAGTGCATACATGTGTAAAATAAATAAAATAATTCTTAAAGTCCTCTAAATGTACACATTTGCAAACTTACCTCTTCGAAGATCACCTTCTTCTATTCGTTTCGGTGATTCTCTACAGAAAACTATAGCCTTTTCAAATATATTTCAGATAAATTTCAATTAATCGAATGACGGAAAATTCCAATAAAATCTTATTAAAAATGTGTAACAGAAAACTTTTATACAGCGCGGATTCTCCAAGCTCTGCTCACTTTGCTTTAGCTCATTACCACGGTCAATTCATGAAAGTCATAGAAGGAGTAATTACACCAAGAGAAAGAGTTTTGTTACGCAGTTTTTTTCATATTCAAAGAGAAATGACATTTGTTTTTGATAAATGATTAGTTCTTTATTACAATGTAAAGGGGAAAATATGCCATAAATAAAGGAAAACAATACCAGCGAAATAATCGCCACGGCTACGCCTACAGGGCCATATACTTTTTATGCAATTTTCCATCCCCAAATCGCAAGGAGCCCTCAAAAGCTTTACGAATTCTATTTTTATGCTCTGGAATCGTCGTTGGTCTGTCGGCGTAGCCCTTAGCTTTCACGTGGAGCCAAAGGAAGAAGTGGCAAGTGGATTTCGGTGATCATCACTTCGAGAGATAACACGCTCCGTAAACTTTTACCTTGAAAGTTCGATGGTTTCATTGCTTGTGTGGCTTGGTTTACGGGTTTTCAACAAAATAAATCTTGGGTTTTTAGAGGCACAGATGGGCGAAGCTGACGTTGTTGAGTTCTTGTGTTCACTAATTTTTAACTTTTGCAAAATATGCGTTCCCACATGTTTTGTAGAATGTCCAAATCCTAAGAATGACGAGAAGTGGACAGAGCTGGGTTGTCTTCAAAACTATTGTGTACCACAGCATCAGTTGTTGTTGAGTGACTTGCACGTATTTTCTTCTTCACATCATTAACTTGTTCCAACACCTCCATCTTATCCACCGATTTCTGTATTGCTGTCCGATAAGGTGCTTCACGATGACCCAAAAAATGTTTTAGTTTTTGTGTGGTTTTTACTTGTCATATGCCGAAAAATTACCGCTTCAAAAGTGAGATCTACTTGAAGCGCTGGCTAATATAAAAAAACCTTTTCTTGGAAAACCTTTTACAAAGTATCATTTAACGGGTTTGAGCACTGTTCTTTCTAGGAAATTTAACAGACGTTCTGTTAGTTAATGTTTTGTGTTTCAACATTTATGTCTGTTAATATTTAGCGTACTAATTCTGTTGAATTAACAGACAATCGAAAATTACATAAATACTCTTTGTTTTAAGTTTTAAGTAAACTGAAAGCCTGGTTTGTTTGTATGAATTGAATATTTTGTTATACAACAAAGAAAAATGGGAGAAGTGACAGCTGTGTCGGAGATCACCACAGCTCTTTAACAGACTTCTTATGGCCGGGATCCTCTTTGTTCAAGAAAAATGTTTGATAATGATCAACAGAACTGAACTGCTGAAACAGATAATTTTATGAAGCCATCTCTCTGTTGATCTATTTTCAGTTAATTCAACAGATGTCTGTTAATTTAAAGATTTTCTTAACAGTGCGATCAGTTTATTGTTTATTTTGTTTTTGCCTTCAGCATGTTTTTTATTTTTAACTTGAGAAAATTGCACATTTTATATATACAGACGAGTACATTTCGAATTTTGCCAATATTTATTATTATCGTCAAATATATATTTGATCAAAAACTATATAACTTCTTAAAATTTAAATATTATTGAAGTTTAAACTAATTTTTTGTCGACATAAAACTGTTGAGGGCATATTTTTGAAATTAAATTCCATAGAGCTACAAGAGAATCCTTTCTATTTTTAGAAAGGAAATGCCTCTTAAACTCTGCTTTTGCACACCAATACATTTCTATGGGATATTTTAAAAGCTTAGTTAAACTTACGACTGAAGTAAGAAAGGTTAATTACTAGCAATTGGAACTTACAATGGCATTCAGCTCTGCGTTCAATCGTCTGCGATATTCACCGTTGCTAATGCACAAAGGATCATAATTCGTACGCAAAACTTTTTTCTCTAAGACAACCAGGGCCGACTCATCGGATGCAACATATGTTAGGCTGTTTATGATTAGGACTTGCAGATTTCGGTTTTCGTTCATCCAGAGGATTTCACTTTTCAATTGCCTACTCAGTCTAAAGTAGCACCTATTGACATCAGTGATTCTGCATTGGACTTCAAAGTTGGCCTTGTTGTTAGTGTCAATGCTGGTTGCAAGATAGACGCAGTTGTCTAGGACCTGGAAGCTAGCACCGAAAACAGTGTCCTGGGAGCGAATGGGACGACTGTTTGTATGAAGATAAGAGATATTTCGTTCGCTATCAGACTCATTCGCTTCACTCTTTTATCAAAGCTGGAGAAAGCAGAACTAACGACACGACTTTTGCATTGTCTATTTTGCTCTACAGCTCTCACTATTTTCGCCAGCACCTAATTCAAGAAATTACACTATAAAGAATCGCGCTGTCTGAAACATCGTTTTGGTATTCAATGACTCGGAGAGGTCCTCCATAATTCTGATTGCATTTCTGGTGTTGTCCAGCCTAAATGTATACAGCCAAATTCAGGCATAGATCTTTTAAATCGATAAACAGGGGATGTGTATCGACTTTTTTTACAGGGTTAATTTTCAAGATTTGGTGAATATCTGGTTAAGGTTTGATTTACCAGGTCTAAAGCCACAATAATAAGGTCTAAACATCTTGTTGACGGTGGGCTTTAGGCTTGCACACAATACGGCCTTATGAGCGAAATTTAAGAGTCTTGATTGACGGTAGTAGGCACATACCGCGTTGTCCCATTTTTTTTAAAGGATTGGGCAGATCAGATTTCTTCAAAGAAGCTCAAACACGCACCTTGTCAGTTCTGCTCCGGTGAGATGGCGCGATTACTCAATCATATTTGACGCAGTGCATATTCTTCTGATGCCGTCACTGTAACAGTTCACTTGTAACATATTTGAATAGCCTTACGAGGTAAAAAACATCGGTGTTCGTAGCTTCGTTGCCATTCGGACTTGTAAGAACTATTTGAACTTCCTCATGAGCGAGTGATACACCGTTTTTACTATCGTCGTTTCGTTGAGGTTCGGATACCATTTCTCTGCTTTTACGAAGGTTTCATAAACTTATTATAGAGATGAATTTCCTATTCTTATATTCTTCTGTTCTAGCAAAAAACTTTTAATTATTCCTCAAACCTTTTGCTCTAATGCATTGCAGATTCTCCTTTTTTATATTGTAAAAATATCTCCTTTCTTTTATTAATTTGGTTTTTCCTTTCTTTTTGCTCGGTGTGATTTGCGGTCGGTCATAATGTTACGAAGCTAGGCCCTCTCCAACTGATCTTTCTAATGGTTTTTACTCTTACTCTTCTTCTACTTTTAGAGTTGGCCGCCCATACATAGCCAACGTACGTATGCCGTCAAAGTCATTATATGTCTTCTAGAGCTCACCACTCCATCGACAGCGGCATTCGTCGTTGCCAATTCGCAAAAAACGTTTTTTCTTGAGCCATTTGTCGTCATCGTCCACGCTTTGAAAAAGTTTTAGGTTTAAGGAGCGTTAAAAGCCAACCAGCCGTCAATTATGGAAATGGATTTTGCTGTCTGTTGTGTTTGCAGTTTTCGAAACACCGGATCTTCTTTATGTTTTTTGACTAGATGGGGATCGGTATCATAGGAGCAATGAGTAGTTATTGGTGTGTTGATCTTTGGCGATTTCATCGTAGCTTGAAGGATTTCTGAAATCTGGACTTACAGATAACAGATTTCAGTTCACGGTGGAGCCGATCAGCAGATCTTGTTATATCAAATTTGCCTTCTTTCCAGCTATTGCGCCACTGGCAGACAATATTGTTAGCCAAACCCCATTTAGTACGTTTTTCGTGTTTCTCATCAAAGTTGGGGTACATCAGAGACTTGTTAAAAATTAATACTATTCGTATGAATTGGTGTTTTAAGTGACGAGTTCAAAGTGCAGCCCACAACTTTGTAGCGCGCAGAAGTTTTTGTTCCTATTTTAGATGTAGCGCAATTGGGGAGGGGCGGCCATTTTATGAGACACCATTAACTGTTTGCATCCGTTAGGTTTTAACAACATTTGTTTAATAATTAATTTAAATACAAAATTAATTTAGTCCGATATATTAAATGTAAACACAACTGAACCCATACATATACTATATACACATACATATTGGCTGAGAGTTCTAAATGTAGAAACCACAGATCACCACAGAAATCTCATGGCTGCTAATAATTTTTTTGAAAACTGGCAACCCCGCAACATACTGTATGCATACATACATTGAAGGCATTTGCATGGCGTTAATGCACCTACAGCTGCTTCACGAATTGGCAACCCAAACCACAAATCGCACCTTCTTGTATTTAATGTTGTTATTGCTTGAATGTTCTTTCTCTTCATTGCACTTTTCAAACTGACTGTTTTCCCCCCCTCCTCCCCACTAAGCACTGGTCACATGAATGGACAATAATAACAAATACCACATGAATCAAACCAAACATAACAGTGACACTGTACCCCTAGCATTAGTATCGAACTCGATTGGCAACACCGACTCGGAATGACTAAATTTTGTAACAAAAAATAAAAAAATGAAATTCTTGTTGTGAAATCACTATCTAATTCATCCAGCACGCTTCATATACCCAACGAAACATGTTGAACCTCACTTATGTACTTAGTATCTTGTTATTTTTACATGCAAATTTTCTAAACTGTGACGTACGGTCCACTCATAGAACCAACCATTTTGTTTTTTTTTTGCTTTCTTTTACTTACAATTATAGCCCCATCAATTGGCGGGCTCAGCGGCCTCAGCAATTCTCGACCAATCGCCACTGCCACTTCCAGGCACACCCTCCCCAGGCAGTAGTTCGGCATCGACCGGTTCCGGCTCGGGTTCCGGTAAAAGTATGTAGCACTGAAGACAAAACAAAATCAAGTTAAATACATTATTAAGCCTTGTTCACTGAGCAATTTACCTTAGGTACTGATACAATAAAACGTGGTGGTGCGTCACCCTCCTCGGTCAAGCATGTGAAAATCCAAGAATCCTCCAGTTCGTATTCCATAACACAGAAGAAGCCAACGAAAGACTCACCAACCGATGATGTTATGAGTTTATTAAGTGGTACAGCCGCCACCACAGCAACAACGACAAGAAAAGGCGTCGAATTTTTCGAACCGCACAAACCTCATACGAAGAGTGACGATAGTAGCTACACGATGAAATATGGCGAGTTGGCGGCGAAGAGGCTCACAGCTTACGGCGATCCAAGCACTTATGGTACCGCCACTGGTAGTACTGGTAAGACGGCACTTGCAACACTCTCAACAGATGACTACAAGGCCATGCGTAATAAATCCAGCGCTACATCGTCCTCTTCATCATCTCAAGCGACAGTTTTGAGCGCGGCTGGTTCAACTGCCACCTCAGCTACAACGACATCATCGGACGATTCAGATGATCTAATATCGTACAAATCATCGGCGTCAACGAATGCTTTGCTTGCACAATCGCAGGCAATGACCACATCCCAACTTATGTCCAAGTATTTGAAGCGAGAACCACGCGTACAGTTTACACCTATAAAGTCACCTGATTCTCCATCTCCACCGGGTAGCGATGGTCTGCCCAAAGGCGTCTATCACTTAACTGCGGCCAGCAGTAAAACGGGCACATCTACGGGTGCCATAAGTAAACACACCGACAACAAGTCCGCATCGCCATCAAAACAGTTGAGTGGCAGCAAAGAAGGGCCAGCATCAACAACATCGTCGAACGCATCGTATACAGCACCATCGACATCCTTTCTATCGACTGGTAGGCGACTATTCGATAGTTTAGCTTCATCGACGGAAGCAGAGGCACGTTCATCAGGGGGAGGTAACAGCACAACAACCGCAGCAACATCTGCAACATATAACGATAGTAAAAGTGTAGCAAGTAGTCATATTAGCAATAAGCAACAAAGTTCAGAACTCAGAAGTTATGGTAGTAGTCTATTCGGTAGTAGTGCGCAGATTGCCGCGACAAATGGCAATGGCGCCACAACAACAAATGGCACTCACAATGCTATGCATCTTTATGGCACACTACCCAAAAACGGCACAGCCGGCAATGCTACAGGTAATGGTTCCTCCGGTGGTGCTGGTGGTGGTATGTACAACTCAGCCACGTCCGCCTCGTACTATGCGGGAGCACAAACATCTTCGTCCTCGGGTGGGCCCACAGCCAGCAGTAGTGGCGTGAGCTCTATGACTGGCTCCACCACCAGCTATGATTATTACAATACCAGTTCCGCCTCATACACGTCAGCGACCAGCACATGATCTTATGGTGGTAATGGCGGCGGTGGTGGCAATTATCACACGTTAGGTAGTTACAGAGTACAATATGCCGCCACCAATCCCTTTCTAGAAGCTTTCGACGCATCTGGTGGCAGTAGTGGTAACGCTGCCGGCGGCAGTGGTAATCGTAATGGTGGTAGTAGCAATAACACTGGTAACGGACATGGTAACGGTATTAATGAACAACAACAACAGGGTAACGGTAGTAGTCAAAGTCACAATCGAACATCGCTGCTGGCCGCTTTGCATGGTAGTGACTCGAAGAATGGCAGCGATGAGTTTGATGATTTGAAGTAAGAGATGTTCAAATAAAAAAAAAAATAAGGTAAAATAAATAAATAAGAAAGAGAAAGAAAAATACAATTTCCTAAGGTATTACCGAGTAGATATGTAGAGAGTGGAGGTTATGTGCAATTTAAATAATTGAAATGAATCCGCTATTTCACGAACATTTTATTGTATGGAAAAGTGACGGTAAGTCTGAGTTCACACAACGCAACTTTTGTTTAAGCAACCAGTTGGTGAGGCTTGCTCAGGACGGCATTGTAACGATAAACTGCATATTAAAGAAAGTATTGCAATTGAATCGATTAAAACAATTGGAAATGTTGCCGTTAAAGTGTCATAAAAAAATTTTATTTCGTTTTTGCCCGCAATGAAATGCTGTGGTTTATGTTAAATCGCTAACAGATAATGTTAACTAGTTAACAGCTATTGTTAAATCCTTAACTGATAATGTTAACTGGTTAAGGGCTAATGTTAAATTCTTAACTGATAATGTTAACTGGTTTAAAGCTAATGTAAAAATGTTAACGGCTACTGTTAAATCGTTAACAGGTAATGTTAAATCATTAACAGCTAATATCAAATGGATTAGTTGGCAGAGCGAGAAAATTGAACGAAACAAGGCAACAAAAGTTAGCGTGTGTGAACTCAATTAACCAAACTTCTCCACCATTTTGCGTCATAAGTTGAGTAATTTTTCTTTCACCGACTGCGTGACCTTCTCGGTTTTTTTTTTTTTTTAAATATATATGTATATTTATTGTATTTAGAGTTGAAATAAGACATGAATGTCCAAAGCAAATGAAATATTTTATCAGTTGCTTACGGTTTTAATTTAATTAAATAAAAAAATAATAAAAAATTTAATAATTCTTACTAGTTTTTTGCATCGAATTCGTATTTTTCCAAGTTAATAAAAAAGTAAACAAAAATAAATAATCAAATTAATTGCATTCTTCAAATTTTAATTTTCATAAATTTACTTATTAAAGTATACCGTAAAATGCGCAAACTGAGTAATGCTGAGAGGAAATAATTTTTCTATTTTTTTTTTTTTAGTATGAAAACAATATAAATCAATAAATGCAATAATTTTTTTTTGTTAAAATCAATAACTGCATATAAATGTGTGCGCACACATACATACATACGTACATTTGTAAATACCGTTGAATTTTTTAAATGTTTACACTTTTACAAATTTACAAAACAACAACAAAACCAAAAGGTAAACAAAAAATATTAATTAAAACGAAATTCAAATAGACAAAACAAAGAAGAAAAAAAAAACAAACAAAAATTAAAAATACACAAAAATCTATAAAACAAAAGCGAGGGAAAATAGAAAATTTACCGTAAAATTTTGATATGAACATTTCGGTAATATTAGAAAATGAAACGAAAAGCAAGAACATAAAAATATTGTCATTTTGCATGCTTATCCCATGACCAACCAACCAAGCAACTATACCTACATACATACATACATATACACCAAGCGGTGCAAACGAATTTTGAATATAAATAAGAGAGAAAAAAAAATTCTGCTTCAGTTTGTTATTAAAATTTTGTTTCGTTTTCGGCTATCAATTAACGGTTATATGAAAATAACTAAGCAGATTAGAAATTAAATAAGCAAAATGCAAACAATGAAAGCGTGGCAATCTAAGATACGGACACAGACTTATTCATACATACATACGTGTAATAGGTATACAGCTATAGTATATACATCCATATGTACAACTCTATATACATATATACATATAGGAAAACATATAAATGAATACTTAATTATACTTAATAACAAATATATATATATTATATATACATATACATACATACATACATAACTAACTAAGAACTAATCTCTAACAGTTTACGGTAATATACAGAAAATAATAAAGAATTTTTTTCGAATTTTCTAACTTTTCAATTAATATACATACATACAAATCAGACTTAAAAACGGTACGTCGCATACAAGTATATATATATAATTATATATATGTATGTACACACATACACATATACATATATGTATATAAAGGCATACATACATACCGTATGGCACATAATATTAATGCTTGTACATATGTATGTATGTATGCCATTGATTATATGCATATATGTATGTATGTATATACATATAAAAACAAGATATACAGAACAATGCCTCAAATGACTAATTACATACATACTAACTAGCAAACTAAATAAATACAAAACACATGCATACAAAATAAATAAACAACAGATAATAAAAAAAATAATAAATAAATAAAAAATAATTTTACAAATTTATTTTATATGAACTTGTGAATTTTTGACAACTGTATTGCTTCTAAATATTAGCAAACTACGTATATTTGTGAGTAACAGTAAAATAACATACATAAATAAAAAACGAAAAAAAAAAACAAAAAATAGAAAAAAACAATTTTTCAAAATAAATATTTATAACCAAATTTTTTATACATACATTTTCTCTTCGAAGTCATTCAACTATTGTATTTGTCAGTTTTTTGTACATACATACATACTTACATACATACATATATGAATAGACTCTTCCTTCCCAGCTGCAGATATTTTGAAGAATTTTACACTAAATGCTTAAGAATACTTTTGAAATAACTTTCCTAGCCATAACCCTCGTGCACATACAAACATATGATAACTGCATATAATTAACAACTCCGAATTCGAAAATTACCTACAGTATTCGATAAAAGGCGGTCGACACAAGTCGTTCGCCTAAATGTACACAAAAGACAATTACAGTTTAAAGGTTGATAACAGTATTTAATAGCTACAAAAAGGAATACAATATAAGAGGAATTCAAACAAAAAAAAAACAACAAAGAAATTTATAGGTTTATATGTAAAAGAAATTATATAAAACAAAATTTATTAGTACATTAAAATCTCATATTAAATAATAACAAACCCAAATCTCGATAAAATAATAACAAATAAATAGTCATAAATTTCCAAAATCCGCATTTTCCAAATAGAAACACACAAAACAAAAAAAGAAAAAAAAACAATACAATTTAGGAGCCAATTTACGAACTCATTAAATCTCAAAAGCAGGGTACCCTAATAAGCTACGCTCATATAAATTACATATACGGAATACCGCAATTACATATATGACATTCCATTACATAGCATAAAAAAAAAACAAAAATTAAAACAAAGACAAAAACTCGACCAACAACAAGAACCTTACCTTAACCGAACCGCATTCTGCAACATATTCAAAACAATCCAAATAAAATCTAAACCTACTTAATGATAAACATATTACAAATACTTACATATATACATATATATATATATATATATCTATATCTATATATCTACATATATAGTATACATAAATTAGCAATAAACATTTGAATGCATACATACATATAAATATGTTAAGTAAGTAATATACGGTATATAACAGTACACTTGTCTATACAATATACAAATGCATAAATACGTGTGTATGACGGTAATAAATAAATAAATAAATAAATAAATAAATAAATAAATAAATAAATAAATAAATAAATAAATAAATAAATAAATAAATAAATAAATAAATAAATAAAAAAATAAATAAATAAATAAATAATTAATAAATAAATAAATAAATAAATAAATAAATGAATAAATAAATAAATAAAAATTATAATGCAAAACAATATAAACGCTATCTACGCCTGTCACCATGCCATAAATTTGACGTGGGACTTTTTGAGTGGTTTATTCACCGCTATATATATAGTATAGTACATACAAACATACTTATGTATATAGGTAAATGAATGAAAAGAAAAAAAAACATGTAAATCGCTTGACTGAGCGGCAACGCGTGTGGGCGTGTCGATGGCAACAGAATAGGCTCTCTACATATACATATACGTATATATATATGTGTATATAATTAGCATCTGGCGTACTACTGCATGCATGCATACATGTTCACATATATACTATATATATAAACAAAACGAAAATTTAATGAATTTATCTATATAATTAGCAAATATTCAACCACACACTCATACACATTAAACTATAAAAGTGTCGCAAAAATAACAAAAAAATAAAAAAATAGTAAATATTATAAAATTAAATTCGTATTTGCTTGCAGGTGTTTCACTGAAAGCCAGGAAGCGCGAAATCAGTTGAATATGAATAAAGTCTGATATACATACACACATACATATGTAAACCCATGCAGTGTATACAAAATCATTACCAACTATATTCATACCATATTATAATACATATACATAGAAACACATATATGTATGTGCAAATGCTCTAGCTATTTACTACACGAAAAAATTTTGGCTCTTTCAGTCTACTTTGACAATTTTAAAGTAGATTATATTGAGTTTTTGATTTGCTTAACAACACCTAATTTCAATTTGTTTCCACTGCAAGTCAGCGAAAGACCTCGCTAGTTAGATGAGGAGAGCACTACTGCTATTTGTTGTGTGAGCTAACTCTGTAACTGTGCTGATGTAACATGTCAACATGTTGCTTATACGCCGTGACCAACGGCTAAGGCAGATTCCTTCTTTAACTGCATTACAAAGGTAAATTTGTACCAAAAATGATTTAATTTTTTTTCCTTTTTTTTATGTAATTATTCTCACATGAAAAACTGGCTTTTTCAACATGAAATGTTAGGGAAGTAACAATCTAAGCTTGGGAAATTTTGCTTAGCTTCGCTCGTCTACAATATCAAATTAATTAATTATTTTCTAATTTTATCATAAACTAATATAAACTAAAGTATAGACAATTTAAGCGTATAAATATTTCTAATTTTTTTTTTTTATGCTTGTATATAATAACTCAAATAGTGGTGTACTAATCTTACATACATACACCGGCAAATGTATGTGCGAGTAGCTGAAATTATAATTAGTGTTGCAGAAACCAAAAAAAACTTTAACTAAAGGGTATTGTGTAATCTGTATGTATGTGTAATTATGCTTTAGCTAGCACGCTGATATTAAATTAAAAAC